AGAAGCCTATACAGGGGAGAGCTGCCCTGCTAATCATTATACCCACCCAGAACAGGGAGTAAGATTCTAATAAAGACATGTTTATAATAACATTCTGCACAAATAAGTTAGGATGCAGAAAATTTGTTGTAGTTCTGATACCACAAATCTGCTGCATGAACTTGAATTTAGATATAATCTCTATGCATCTCAATTTATTCATATTTAAAATGAGAATTTAACTGATGTATAAAAACACACATGTACTTTTAAAAGATTTTATATTTCTAATGTATTCTGAAATTAAATATAAATTAATTTAGACCACTTGTTTTATGTTGCTATTCCTCTCCTTAGCTCTACATATTTGTCATACTATTAAGATCCAAATTGAAGTTTCCTATTTTTAAAATGCTTACATGACCACATTCTGTAGCATTTGAAAATAGGCAATAAGTATTGCCTAAATAACCTATTTCCCTTGTATACATACTGCTCCACTTTCTTTTTTTAATGTGTATTTTTTTTAGCTTTAGGTGGACACAATATCTTTATTTTACATTTATGTGGTTCTGAGGATCAAACCCAGTGCCTCGTGCATGCTAGGCAAGCACTCTACCACTGAGCCACAACCCCAGCCCTTATACTGCTCCACTTTCTAAAGTGACTTTCACATTTCTTCTCTCTCCTTAAGTATCCCCTTACTCTGGTTCTTTACTCACAGCATATTATCTTGCCTCATATTTCATTAAGAATAGACTTTCATGGAAATTCCCTTTTCTTCATGCGACCAAATCTACCAACTTCCTTGGACCAATATCATCTGCCTTCTCTCCTAATGAAAGAGATAAACTCAAACCCTTCTCCTAACCAAGTTCTGAATTTTCCCTTGTGCTCTGTACCTGATTTCCTTTTACCATCTAAAGGAAGTCATTCAACACCTCCCCTCCTCCTCTGCCTGATTCTTCTCCTCCTTTTTTTTTTTTCCCAGTATTGAGGATTGAACCCATGGTGTTCAATCACTGAGCTACTTCCCCAACCCTATTTGATTTTTTACTTTGTGATAAGGCTTTGCTAAATTTCTCAGGCTGGCCTCAAGCTTGTGATCCTCCTGCCTAAGACTTCTGAGTTACTGGGATTACAGGTGTGCACCTCCATGCCCAGCTATCCCATCCTTCTTCTGATCATCAGTTTCTACCATTAGTAAGTGAATATTTTTGAATCTTTCCCATCTTTAAAAAAAAATTGTGTTTGTCCTCCCATTTCTCTCCTCACATGGTCAACTACTCCCTCTTAAAACTTTCTTAACTTTTATAGCATCACACTCTCCAGATTTTCCCCTAATGATCTTCCAAAAATTTGTTTTGGTTTTTGGCCCCAAATTCTCTTCCATACCTCCATTGATTACTCCAGGACTCAACTTTCTTCTTTTCTCTTTTAACACAATTTCCTCTCTATTTATACCAGCTCTTATATAGTCCATTGCTTTAAAAACTGTATTGGTCAGCTTGGGCTTCCATAACAATATACTGTAGACTGAGTGGCAACAGAAGTTTGTTTTCCCACAGCTCTGTAGGCTAGAAGACTGAGATTACCATGGTTGGGCTCTGGAGAGAGCTCCCTTTCTAGCTTACAAAAATGACTCCATTCTCACTGTGTGGTAGGAGCTGGTATGTGTTTGTGCAGATCTTTGGTGTCTCTTCTTATAAGGCCACCAGTTCTGCTGGATCAGAGCTCCACTGTTACAAACTCATTAAGCCTCAATTGACCCCTTAAAGGACCTTCCTCAAATACAGTCTCATGGGAGTTTATGGCTTTTACATATGAATTAGGAAGTGGACAAAATTCAGCACTGTTCTCTGTGTATCCTATACTCTTTAATTCAATCTTTGGTAACTTGCCTTGATTTCTAGCCAGAGTAGCCTTAAGGATAGTTTGCACTGGTCTCATGGTATGGAACCAGGTCATTGTCAATGCTGATGATGCCAGTATAGATGAAGATTAACCCACTTCTGCTCCCTGGTTGAACTGTATAATTGAGATTCTGGCCTCTTGGTGGCTGCCTGGCAGAAGAGTTCACACATCATGGAGGGGAGTTAATGTCCTATAGAACAGACTTTGACCAAGGAAACAGAATGAGAGTGGCCCAGCAGATAAACCCTTCTCCTTCCCCCTCCCTTGGAAAGAAGACATGTTCAGCAACCTGGCGGTTGTATTCTTTGCTAACTAGGTGATGCACCCTCATGTGTTTTGTCTCTCTGTGCCTTGGCCTCACTCTTCTTTTCTCTTACTCCAGCCTCCGTAGGTTCACCAATGAAACCATCATATAATAGTAAGGGCTATTATATGATCAGTTTACACGTTCTAAAACATGTATTTCTAGGTCTAATTCTCCTCTAATCTCTAAAGTGGTAGGTACCTTCACTTGTCTGCTTGATCTCTTCACTTGACATATAATAGGCTTCTCATACTTCACAGAATCATTGAATTTCCCAGAAAGGTCTGCCTCACAAATTAGACAATAAACGATGCCAGATCTTTTCAATTGCTCAAATCAACAAATTTTATTCCTCTTTTCTTTTACCCAACACATCTAAATTATCACCATCCTATCAGCTCAACTTAAAATATACTCACCAATAATTCATGTCCTTCATCTTCCTTGTCAAGTAGAACCATTGTTATCTCTCACCAGTGTTACACCAGGGGCTCCCTAACTGATTTCTTTTCTTGCTCCTTTATTCTTACAATGCATCCACAGTGGTCTTTGAAAAATATTAAGTAGATCATGTCATACTTTTACTAACATCTGTGCAATGACTTCCTGTTGCTCTTGGAAAAAAAAGTCCAAACCCTTTTTTACAGAGTGGAAAAGGCCCTATATAATCCACTTTCCAATTCTGTGTCTTGAAACATCCCCTCTTCTCTTTTGGGCTATAGTCCCATTGTTCTTACTCCAAGTTTGTTCTTACCCTTAAGACTTTGAACTTGCTATAAACTCTACCCAGAAAAGATAGTTCTAAAGTTGATTACTTTTGGCCATTCGTGCCTCAATCAATATGTCTCATTGTAAGTGAGATTTTCTCTTTTCATCCAATTAAAATTTTGAATCACCTTTATATAACCTGGTTTTACTTTTTTTCATGACATTCGCCACAATGTACAATTATCTTGTTTATTTATTCATTATCCTTCTCTTCCATTGTCACATTTACCCGTTAAAGTAAGGATTTTGTATATCTTGCTCATCACAGTGTCCTCAGAAACAACAACAACAAAAGACTTGACATATTTATACTAAGAAGGCATTGTTGAATATATGATTGATTTAATGAATGAATGATTTCAAACAATTATAGGGTATTTTGCAAATGTATTTCAATTTCACTTAGATTATTTAAGTGCTTTATTGTATTTTTAAATAATTCATGTTTTAATAAAAAGCACAGTCTAATTCAATAGCTATGTCTATAAAGATCATGGGAATTTGGCAATCAAACTAGCTTGTTTAGCAGCATTGTGCCCCCAAGTCAACCATTAAAATAATACAGATAACTCTTTTCTTGTAATAACTACTTCATTCAATCATTCATTGAGCAGTAGAGATACAGGCTCCCAAACAGGATGGCTGTTTAAAAAAAAATGCCACAAATGAAATAAAGGAAACCTTGGATTTTCCTAGTTTTATTCCACAAAGAAGGAGAACTAGTCCATGGATCTCAGGTATCCTCAGCCTTGGGTGCCAGAAGAGGCAGGAAGGCTGGCTGAACATGGCAATTGCTCTGCAAATGGGTCTGTATTGAGTTCTGTGCTCTCTAAACCAAACTGAAGGAAATAAAGCAAGAAAAAGGCAGATTAAGAGAGCATCAAGGTGGCCCAACAGCTTGATTCACCCTCACATCTCAGAAACTTTCATTAAGATTTACATCATGATGCTGACCTAAGTGGCAAAGCAATTTTTTCATAGCTGAACAAAAAAGCTAATACTCTCCAGTTGGGTCAGGTAACCTTTTTCTTGCTCACAGCAAGTAATGGAGTTTGCCTCATGTGAATGAGACTGACCAATGGACATATATTGCTGCATTCCAGTGAAGCAAGTTCCCTTGTGATAAATCTGCTCTCCACTTATTAAGGTTTTTTTTAAAAAGCTCTTTCTCATTTTATTCATTTTTCTTAGCAAGCCTAAGAAAGGCTATATGCACACTCTTTTTAAAAATATGTAGGTTGACATTAAAATGCCCCGCATGATTTCCAAAAGCACCTGGAGAAAAAATGATCCAGTACCTCAGAAATGAAGTTTCTAAAATAAAACAAATCAAAGCAAACTCATACACACACACACACACACACACACACACACACACACACACACACATACACACACATCAAGGAATTCTAAATATCTAAATGGTGTCAGAAATTAATTAGAATTTTTTTCTGTGTAATTGATTTCAGAAAAAAAAAGTGTTAGTCACGGAAGGCAAGACATCACAAAGTGAGTATCTTAGAAACTATTCTATTAACAGTTCCAAAGCAACAAAATGTAGGAATCGCCATATAAACTAGAGAATGACACCCTACTGAATAGAGTATGATATTTCTACCATCGAAGCCAGCCAGAGATGCAAAATTGGTCTAGTGCTGCCTGGACCAGACCAGACAATTCTCTTTCACTAACTGCCACTAATTGGTTTTCTAGGGCTACTGTTCATGCTTGTGTTGCCTCCATAGTCTATTTAAAAATCATTCTTTCCTCAAGTAAAAATGCATTTAAAGGAGTGTATTAGTGATTCTACAATACAATGACAAACTCATTTTACATAAATTATACAACTCACATAATTGAATTTAAAGGAAAGGAAAACAGGGAATGATGGCCCAACTCACTAGCATATCATAATTTGTTATAAAATACTTCTCTTACTTTCATGGAAATAAAATTCTTTGTGGCAGTTTTGAGGCTGACTTGTTCCAATATCTCCATTTTTATAGAAAGAAAATGATAAGACAGGAAACTTAGACATCATTGACTAAGTTTTTAATAATTTGTTATCTCAAGATATGACATTCTCCATTGAGAACAGATGTTGAAAGAGTCAAATACTGAAAATTACAAAAGTATTTAGAAATACATTTTTTAAATGATTACTGTGAATATACTGCAGCTTCTCAACAGGAATAAAACTACATTTTAGAAAACAATGGCAAGTTTTTAAATTCCTCATATAACAAGGTACCACTAATACCATACTTCTTTACTTTGTTCATTGTTAAATGTCAAATGCAAATTTTGGCATCATTTTATATGTATCACTTTTTTATAATTCTTTAAATTATGAGTGTTATTTAGAACTGTGCTTCTTAAACATTAATGTGCATACAAATCACATTAAATCTTGTCAAAATGCTGTTTTTGCTTTGAGACCTGAGATTCTGCATTCTAACATACACTTGGGATGCCAATGCTGTTGGTCTGCAGTCTATACAAAAAGACTATAAGATTCTTTCACTATTATACAGCATTCTTCAAAGAATAATCAATGTTTTACCTTAAAATTTATCTTTTAAAAATTAACTATATCAAGATACTAAATTTTAACAAAATCCATTTTTATATTGATGAAATTAAAGATTAAAAATAAATAGCTACTATAACTAGCTAGCCAGCATTTTTGTAATTCTGAACTTATATCTAATTCCTGCTTTGTGAGTTATTAATGATAAATGTATATGTATTATTACATAGTGAATCATGTAATAATGAAGGCACTTAGAAATTTACATGAGACAATGTCAAGCTAATGGCAATAATATAAATTAAAATACAAAATATCAGATTATTGTTTACACTAATACTGAACTATCAGTTTAAATTTTTAAGATACTCAACAATCAGAATACAAATGGGGGAAAGCAGCAAAATTTCCTTATTTAGACATTATATCAAAAAGATCCTCAATTACTGAGTGTTCCTCCAGAAAAGAATGAGCATCAACCCTTCTAGAACATGACATTTCTTTCATTTGTCTGAAAATTCTTGTCATGTGCAGAGTTTGTTAGAATAACTACTGTATCTGCATATCATAACAAACCATTTATATTTGGAAAAAACAAAGTTATAACAAAATTGCACACATTCCCCAACTAATGAAAGTATATACCAGGTGCACAGTATATCCTTAGGTATGGCTTCCTTGTTGGGTATACAATCTTGACAAATGTATGCAGGACACAAAGCTCTACTCTTCTGGTTAGAGGGTAAAGGCCAGTGACTATGGACCATGGAAAGAAGAATTGATATTGTCCTTACAACAGCATCCAGAAGCACAGTTAGAGAACTCAGCACAGAGGAGTTGTGATAGTCACGTGGTTGGAAGCTCCACAGGGTCCAACGTGGCCACCTTGTGGCTTACACTTGTGAAAGAGGGTACTGTTTCATGTGGAGGGTAGGTTCATCGCTTTCAGTGGCCACTGCCTTTCAAATATCTAGTCACAAAGAGATTTATCTTCTTTCTCTTAGGAGGAGTAAGCAGCTGTTACAGAATATAGCTGCTTCTTCTTCTCCCTTAACTTTACACTGCAGATTTTGAAACTTAAACATCAGGACTTCAATTCCTCTTTCTTTAGTGTCTAGTTCCTCCTGCCTCTGGTGACTGTGCCTAGAAAAAAAAAACTGAATATAAAGATGAGAACCCTCCTGTTATTTTAATACTTCACAGTATTATCCTGTACTGTCTTACAAATGCTAATTAGAAGCATGCTATTAATATTACACATGGCACTTTTTCATTTTAAGCTTCAAGCTAAATTGGTTTTATGTTAACTACACTAAAAATAGTATCTGTTGGAAGGATTTTTGATAAATACTAAAAAGAAACATCTGGCAGTTCAGAAAGTGATCACAGAAATCTGATAGAAAAATATTTAAAAATTGAATCAAAGGAATGTTTGGTGATATAGAGGTCTAAACTGATATAGATAAACATTTCTGATTACAAATACCCAGGTTGGTTAGATATAACCAAAAACTTTAGATGTATGGAGACATTCAAAAATGAAATAAAGGGGAAATCCCCAGGTATCAGAGAGAAAAAAAAAATGAATCAAGAGATGAGAGTCTGCAGGTTGATGGATGTTTCTCACTCGCTGCAGTCCCTGGGGTTGTGAAGAATAGGGTACTGATGATCATAGGAGGGAGGAGTTGTAACCAAAGACATAGGGCATGAGTGACTTCAACCGTTAACATTCCATTTGCTGACAACTATTCTTGCAGCCAGAGTCCTCCAAGGAGCTCCTCCTTCTATTAGCCCTTTCCCTTCCTGAACAATCAGTACCAAAACCATGAGGTGGATAAAGAAAGGTAGTGATAGAAGTGGGGAGAAGAGGCCTAATGAGGAGAATCAAATCCCAAATAGGACAAAGAGGGCTTCCTTATGCAGTCAGAAAATGGCCTGGTTTCAGGGCCAAAATGGAGTAGAGAGGACTTCTATGCAGTGATGCAGTGCAGTGCGGTGGGTTGCAACATGAGCAGGGGAAGGAAGCCCAGATGGATGTCCAGCCAAGAAGGGTGAAGCAGGCATGTGCATGGGAAACAGATATACACTAGAGAAGGGTGAGATAAGTATATGTAAACACAGAAGTTTTTCACAAAAGGCAATCGCAAATATGAACAGAAAATTATATTGAACCTTGAAATGTTGTCCAAAAATATAAAAAGATATTATTTTTAAAAGTATTGCATTGGTGTAAACATCTTTGCATAACCTAAAATTGTTTAGCATAAAGAATGATAGAAAATAATTTAGAGCACTTCTATGCAAGACATAATTCCCATCATTTTTATGAATTTTACTTGATTTGATTTCAGAACAACACTATGAGGCTCATAATGGCACAGCTGAGGCACATAAAGGTTTATATAACTTACCCAAAGATATCCTAAAAGTAAGCATCAAAGTGGGGATTTGTATTTATAGGAAATATTTATATTCTCTCTAACCATATAGAAATGTAATTGGTCCAGAGTAATTTCACTCTGGGATTTGCTTTAATACCACCTTTATTCAAGTAAAAGTCACTTGATCCTTTTAAACTATTATCTCAAGATTTAGATATAGGATATTTGCCCAGGGTTAAGATGGGTCCTTCCAAGGGGAGACACAGAAAATCTCAAAGTCAACAAAGGCAAACAGCAGGGCAATCACAGTGTAATTAATCTGAGAGCTGGTTCAGCACAACTGAGTCAGGAGAGCCCCTTTTCCCTCTGTTGTCCATGTGTACAGAGTAGGAGCACAGTGCAGCCAGGGTGGAGTCTTGGCAAGGAGTGCAAGAGCTGTTCTCTCAAGACTGCAGAGCCTCTTTGGGGGAGAGAGTCACAGTAAGTGTTGAAAGTAGAAATAATCTCAAGTAACTTACACCTTCAATGACACACTGAAAGAAAAAAGAAAAAAGCCATATCACCAGAAACCAAATACTGTAAAGCTATTCACACCTAGAATAAATTCACCTTTAGGAAGACTGTACACTCCACACACTCACAGGACATCTTACCTGTCAACACAGAACAAGCAATTCTCTTTGTTCTCCACCTTCAAAATTAATGACTATTGAATTTTTGAAACTTAAAAAAATATGTTAATCTTTTATTTATAAATATTCTGACAACAAGACAATCAAATATTTTTAAAGATTATTAATAAGAAAAAGAAAGATTGAGCTGAACACCATTAGGAGATTACCAATAGAAAAAAAATGGCAAAGAGTCTGAGCAGTCATCCTATTAAAGAAGAGAAAACTTAAATTACTAATAAAGAGGTAAAGAATGTTTAAACCAAAGAAGACAACTCAGTCTTGGTGTATGGATGGTTATTCATAACATGTAGGCATCCCCTGGAAATGGACAGCTCCCACATAGCCACCTCAGCTCATAGCTGCTCTGAGAACTAGGGGGTCAGGTATAAGCAGGGGTTCATTCTACCTGGAAGAGAGGGTAGCTAGATATATAGATCTCCACCAGTACATGAGTTGTAACAAATATTTAAGTGGGTGGTCAGGAACTTGCTAAGAAGACTACTGGAAAAATCCTTCTGAGAGGCACAAGATACTCTATCTATGTGAGTGCTCACCAAATGATGATCTTATCACTGGAAGACTTCAATAAACAGGAGAAGATTTCCCCAACCTGAGGATGTTAGTTAACTCCCTCTCTAGACACTAAATTCATTGCTCAGTGGGAACATGAATAAAATGGCTATAGGAGTAAGTAGGGAGGTTATAGATGGACTGTCTTCCAAAAGTAGGGAGCAACACTGAGGCTCTGATATGGCACCATGCTGCAAAGGAATCACCAATAGTAGGTTGATTCAATTGGATTATTTCCATCATGGAAGGGGCAGTTCTTTGTTCTTACTTGAACAAATACTGTAATTATGGATCTGCCTTCTCTGTCTTTAATGCTCATTTCCACCACACTGAAATAGCTTCCTAGACAGAACAGTGGAATGACCTTTTGAAGACAGTTAAGGGCCAACATGTTGTATGGCAACATGTTGCAGTGCTGGAGCAATGTCCTCAAAATCACAGTATATGTTCTTTATATTTCTAAATCCTCAAAAAGTATGTGGTACAGTTTCTCCAAGAGCCAGAATGTAATATAATTCTTCAACACTAAAGAGGGAAATGAGAACAATTTCTATTATTTAACTTTTAGTGATAAATTAGTAAAACTTCTGTTTCTCGTCTCTACAAATCTCTACATCTCTTCAGAGCTAAGACTCCTATGGCCACTTTATTCATGTTGCCACTGAGCTAAGACTCTAAAACTCTTAGCTCTGAAGGGAAGAATATTTCACTATGGGATTCAGCAATAATTTTACTAACCCAGCTGAGATTACCACATGACCACTTTAGGCTTCCATGCTAATCAATTAGCAGGTGAAGAGGAGGGTTACATATTAGCTGGGAATAACTTATTTATCTTGAGGACTACGGAGAAAAACTGGGTTGCCATTACATAACAGGAGATCTTTCCCAGCACCTCTTCATACCCTCATGACTTGTGATTAAAGTCAATGGAAAATTAAAACCACTCAATAGAAGAAGGACTTCTAATAGCCCAATGAACAAAGCTCAACACACAGACTGTTGATGTCTCCACACTTCCATGTTTCATTACTGGGCTCCTTTCAGCAGCTGCTCCTTTTTTTTAAACAATAAATTATAAATTTTTTATTGTGTATATATTCCCATATATACATACCCATAAACCCATATATGTGTGTGTGATGTGTGTGTAGCCACTATACACACATATTGTGTAATAGATGTACACAGAGAAATGGGGAGGAAGGAATGGAGAGGGTGGGGTAAGATATAGAACTACCTAAGAGTTGCTTGGCTATCTAGAGTAGTGGATCAGAATAACATGAAACCTTTCAAACTACAAATGTCTGCTGTGAGATTTTTATACTGAAACACTCTTTTGGGGGATTTCCTGTTGTAGCAATACATTGTTGATAATGACAGTGTTTATATATCTTATGTTACAAAGAAAAAAAAAGGAACTTAAAGATCACTATATTCAAAAAAACACAAAAGCTACCTTTAATATCAAAATAGATGTTTTTCCTCAGTTGTAAATCTTTACCTCTCAGTCATGTTATATTTAGCAGCTTTCTTGAAACTCTTTTTCCCTATGATTCCTGAGAACTTACTCTCTGGCCTACTGGGTTTTTTTTGTTTTGTTTTGTTTTGTTTTGTTTTTTAAAAATTTTTATTGTTGGTTGTTCAAAACATTACATAGTTCTTGACATATCGTATTTCACACATTTGATTCAATTGGGTTATGAACTCCCATTTTTACCCCATATACAGATTGCAGAATCACATCGGTTACACATCCACTGTTTTACATATTGCCATACTAGTGTGCTGCATCTCATACTGAGGTGATTGCAGCAAATCCAGAATTCCCTGTGTTCAGCTGCATCATGGAGAATAGGGGTGAGGAAGAAGCAGCCAAAGACATGTGATTAGTTAGCTTCAGAAGTGATGAAACTGCATCTTCAGAAGAAAAAAGAGTTAAGGGAAACTGATAAAGCCAGTGAGGCCCATGTCTGTAAAGAAAGCCTAGATAATAAAGGCTTATGCTTCTTTCTGATGAACAGCTTTGGGTAAGCCCAATAAGCAGTTCCTTGTTCTGTACTGAAAAGAATTTAAAGAAGCAGGAGCTAATTAAATGTTAAAGTACCTTGTGCTTAATAAAAACAATACTATAAAAGTCAGGATTTAGGCAAGGATATCTACTAAAATAATGATTGCTTAACATTTCTCTGCAGAAACTAGTCAGTATATTTATAAAAGAAAAAGAAATTATCAATATAAAAATTGGACATGATAGAGTATCACTGTTTTTAGGTAGTGTAATTGCATCTTGGGAAATGTAATAGAATTACTGAACTATCACAAATAAGAGATTCCAGGGAGATGGATAGATACATAATTAATAAACACAAATCACTGGTTTTTCTTTATTTAAAAAAACATATTATAGGTTGAACCTACACTAGGAAATGAGCAAAAGCTATAGAAAGAAAACTTTAAAAGTCTACCTGAGACAGAAAAATAATACACAGAAAAACAGAACAGCATCATATGATCTTGATAGGGAGATTCAATATCACAATGTTTCCAACTCTTACCAATTTAATTTATAAATATATCAGAATCTAAGAAGAATAAAAATGAGTTTCTTAAATTGACAACTTGATTCTAAAATTTTATAATAAAAAATAAACAAACAAAAATAGACAAGTGAAGAAAAATAATATTAAGAGGGACCAGTTCCATGAAATATTCAATTATATTATAAAGCTGGGGATGTAGCTCCATGGTAGAGTGCTTGCTTAGCTTGTGCAAAATCTTGGGTTCAAACCCCAAGACTGTAAATAAATAAATAAACTATATGAATAAAAAGAGTGTAATATACTGGTTCATGGTTATAAGAAGGCATTTTTAAAGTTCAAAATGGATTCAAATATATATATATTAGAATTCAACATATGGTGAAGGTTAAATTACAAATCAGCGTGAAAAGATTTTATAACTAATGAACAATGTTAGAGAAACATTAGAGGAGAGATACCTATTCCTCATGCTGATAAGTGCCACTCAGATCACACATTTAAATATAAAAAGAAAATCAGAATTCTGAAAATGCTAAGAGAATATGTATTATCCATGTTAATCTCAAAATGAAGGAGTCCTTCTGAGAAGGAAAACTGACATAAGGATACAGAAGGCCACTCTTCTGCCTCAGGGTGGAATGAACTTCACTTGGTTTGTGCTCCAAAGATTCTACAGGATCCCTCTCCTGCTGCTCTTTCCTACTCTCTAGCTCCTTTTCTTGAGAGTATTTCCTAATAAATCATGTAGACAAGAATCTCTATCTTAGGACATGCTCCCAAGGAATCTGAGCTAAACCACCGTTTAGTTTATTGTCTGTTAGGAAATTTATTTAAAATAGAAGTTAAAATAAAATAAAACCTATGTTCTGAACCCAAGGTGCAGGTTATTTTACTGCTGAGCACATCATGGTTATTTGCTTTAATTCTTTGAGATCCAGCGTAAGCTGTATCAATTCCCTCATAATAACAAGACAGTTAATTTACAATCGGCCTCAAATAAGTCAAGTTCTGGTCTACAAATGTTTTATTAACATGATTAGTCACTGCTATTTGAGGAGAATCTCAAAAATAGTGAGAATCTTTTCTCTAGTATCAAGACCTAGAAACTGGTGAGTGGGGAGAATGGGTTCCATTAGTTCTAACAAATCTTACGTCTGGGAACACGGACCAATGAAACTAGAGACCACAACATCAGGAGATTTCAATATTAAGAGATTTTAACTGAAAGATCTTTGTTTGCTTTCCTGTACAAATCCCCAGACCTGCTTTCTCAGCAAAATTATGTAAAACTTTTGAGCAGAGAGGATTATATTTTCCATTTGGGGCTCCACTAGGTTTAAATGAACATGCCAGACCCCAGTTGTTGAAAGTTTGACTGATTTCTCCCCATCCCAGTATGGACTGGCTCTTTACCTCTCTGCTTGTCCAACACCACCCTTAACAGCTATTCCTGGTATAAAACCAACCTCCATCCTTAAATCACCTAGGAAGGGTTGTTTCTATTAGTGTTCAGTTCTTTCCATTTTCTTTGTATCTGTAACTCTTCAATAGTTTTAAAGAAGAATATGTGTATTAGGTTAATTTGGAGATTTCTTGTTGTTACAATGTTATATATTTCTTTTATGTCTTTCCACTTTCTAATAAGCATTACCCCCAGCCTACCTCAAATTATGTCTAACATTATTCAAGAAGAGTATAAAATACAATAAGGTATAAAGCAAAAATAAGGAACAGAGAGGTGAAAAG